TACGTAACCGCACAAAATAATTTTTCCTCCAAATGAACCTTAAAGTGATAGATTTTAATAAATTGAAAGTGGAAAAATAAAAAATATAAATATAAAAATGATAAAATAATTGCATTGAAATATTTGCCCATATTTGTTGATAGGGCAGAATTAAGTGAAAAATATCAATTTCCTTTTAGTTTTTAAATATATTTTTTTTTATTTAAAGACTTATACAAAAGGAAAGTTTCAATGATTGGGGTCTGTTATAAATTGGACGGCTGTAATTTTTTGTAAATGAAGTTGTAAAACAGTTGTGGAAAAAATAATTTTTTTTGAAAACTGCTATTAAAAGTAGCTTCATAGCATAAGCAATTCTTGAAAATAATGATCAAATAAAAATTGTTATTGTGGTCTAAAAATAAGAGCAGCGTGAAAACTGTACCCAAAGCACTGGCTGCGGGTACAGAGGCGTGAGTGGCCCGGTAGGTGGGTAGGGATTTACGGACCGCCAAACGCGCTCAACAAAACTTGACGTGGAAGCGGACGGTTCCTCATCATAAATAAAAAAAAAAAAGAAAGAAAGAAAACTGTCCCAAATAAGGACACCACCTACATGCTCAGAATACCCAAACATTTATTTTGTGCAAATTTACTTTCTTTTTGATTGACTAGAAATTAATTTTTTATTTTGATGAGACATAATTAGTCACAACAATTATTCAATCATTTTTTCTTCACAATTAAGCAGAGAATTATAATTAAAAGAATTATTTATGAAGTAAATTTAAGTAAAAAATATATTTAGAAATTATAATAAATGGTGTGTAAGAAACTAATGAGCCTCCTCATAAAATAATAATAGAGAAAATTTGTTTTCCTGCATATGCCAGTAATTTGTGCAAGTGACAATTGTAAAATTCTTGATTTAAGAAAATATCATGTGAATTAATTAATTTAATTAAAAAATCACCACAGGATTGCTTTTAATTTTTTTGTTAAACAAAAATTCTTTAAAATTTTTGCTAATAATTTTTTTAAAAAATTTTGAGTTTGAGTCATATATTTTATAATTTATATCACATTATTCTCAAATAAATTTTATTTTAAATTTATAATAAACTTAGATGCAAAATTTGTTTAGAAAATATTGAGAGCAACTAAATTTTGTGTAGTCTTGTGCTAGACTTGGTGGAACATGATTGTTTGATCAATGTACATCATTTGAATATTGTGCAGCAACACTGTGCACTTGTTCGTGTCAGTGCTGCATGATTGGGCTGGAGACAGAAAGTGGCGCATTAGCTGCAAGTCGGCCCGAAAAATTTTCCCATCTTATTTCGTTTGAAAATAAAAAGGCGAAAGGCTTCATCTCTTGGAGCAATAAACCTGTGCCTATTGTGTATTTTGGTATAAGAATGTTGTGAGAAGTGAAGACAAGCAATGATATAGAGTGTATGTGATAGAAAGAGTTCTATAAGATTTTCTCCTATTTTCATAGAAAAATTATTAATGCGGTGTGACTTTGTAGTTTTTCCTATGTTTTTTTTCTTGTTTGTTTCGTTATTTGTTTACTTCCCAATGATTCGCAGTTTATACAATTTATGAGAAATTTTTTTTTAAGTGTTTATATTTATAAACTCAGAATATTCTGAGTATAAACTATAATTTGTTTTAAATATTATGATCATATTTATGATATTCTGACGGTGATCATAAATGAGCATGTTGAGTAAACTTTTCAAGAGTAAATAAATTATTAATTGCATTACAAAATTTATATGTTTTGCAACTTCTTTTTAATTCCATAAAAAATGCACTTAATGAAATTTTATTAAATTTAGTTTAAATTTTTTAATTGCTATTATTGTAGTTATTGATATATCATCAAAAAATTATCTTAATCAGACACGAATCTCTGAGCAAAATTAAGTGAGAAGCTTCCGAAATTAAATCTGGGATCATCTGAACTCCAATTACAACAAATTTATAGTCAAACTGAACGTCTAAAAAAATACAAATCCAACGACACCAAATTCGATTTAATCCGAGTCCAAATCAAAGACTCAAATCACGTTTGGAAGGTTCAAACCATAATTCAATTTACCAAACGATTTTCAAACATGACATGTTTATAGTCGAATCGAGCGACTTGATGAGACAAATCCAACAAACCTAAGATCATTAAATTCTGATATCATTAAGGTATTCAAATGACCATTAAATAGTCCATGATCAAGGGGATCAATATCGGCCTTTCATTCCAACCACTCCCATTTTGACCTTGATCATCCACATATTTACAAGCCATGTCACTATCAAAAAATTATAAATAGCCCCACTCTTCTCATGAGTGAGGGGGAAAGAAGAAAATGAATGGAGGAGTTTGGGAGCTATATTGCCACCAACCACCGTAGGAACTCTTCCCGACCACCGCCAGAACTCTTCCCCACCACCGTCGGAGTTCATGCCGACCACCGTCGGAGTTCTTTCCGACCATCGTCGGAGTTCGTGCCGACCACCGTCGGAGTTCATGTCGACCATCGTCAGACTTCATCTAGTTCGCCGACCACCGCTGGACTTCTGCTAGTTCGTCAACCACTGTCAAACTTCTGCCAATCCGCTGACCACCGCCAGAGTTCTTCCCAACCACTGACGGACTTCTTCCTGTTTGCCGACCACCGTCGGACTTCAACCAGTCCACCAACCACCACTGGAATTCTTCCAGACCATCGCCGGACTTCTACCTGTCTGCCGACCACCATCAGACTTCCGCCAGTCAGCTGACCTCCGTCGCTTGCCGACTATGGTCCTTCCACCTGACGTCATCCCATCGACTATAGTTCTTGCGACCTTCGTCGCCCGCCGACTACGATCCTTCCATCATACGTCGCCCACCGACTATGGTCCTTCCGACCACCGTCATCCAACTACATTCCTTCAAACATACATCGCCCACCAAATACGATCCTTCCGACCATCGTCATCCGACTATAGTCCTTCCGACCTATATCGCTTGCCAATTATGATCATACCGCCCAAACAAACATATCAACACTGATTCTTACAACTCCTACTATACAATGCATTTTATATGATGTATATTTGCTACTTAGAGCCAAGACCTTCCTCCTAAGGAAGTGCTTCATTTGTAATCAATTGCAAGCACTAGTGGATTCATTCAAATTGGGTCAGGCCCCATGGTTATTTCCCTTTTTAAGGGGTTTCCACGTAAAAATTCTAGTGTCTTTTATGAATGCTACACCCTCTCGTTTATATGCTTGTGTGCTGGATCTTCGTACAAAGCTATGACATTAAATTTTATATTTCTCTATCGCCGCGAATTTTCCAGGACGTACGCAACAGTTATGCTAACAATGTATTTAATGAAATTTTATTAAATTGTATAAAAGTTTTATATTTGAACTTGTTAGAAACATAGATAGCTATCAATGAAGAATGGGTGAGAAGAACTATTCCACACCCTCAAAGGATTATTTATTTATTTTTTCAGTTCAAAAAATTTCAAAGAGATGGAAATCATAGTAATTTAGAAAAGATTTAAGGTATGGAAGTTATTATGGCCAAATAAGTGTGCATGTTTTGTATTGCTTGGTGTCGTAGGGGTGGTCCATTGAATCCAATTGTTCAGTCTTACCCTTCTTGAGTCTACGCTCAACTTGAGTTTCATTCGGAATAGTTTTCTTATTGCTTTCTACAGCAGCTTTCTATCACAAAATTTCTTTGAAAGTAGTGAAAGAGTAGACGTCAAAAGCTACCCCAAACAAAACATTGATATGATTGAGTCAATAGAGTTCCAATTCCATCTATTCAAATGCCATGATTTGTATTTGATTTTTTGTGATGGGGCAACCAATTTAAATTTATTAATTTGGGCATTAATCTAATATAATTAGGATTATTTAATCTAGTTATATGTTAGAATAATTGTTCCAATAAATTTTTTTTTAGCATTGTACAAAATTCATACATATATAGAAAAAATAATGAAAATGGTACAAGCTGCAAAAGGAACATATTTTTTAATTTTTCTAAAAGTCTTTTGGGGCATAAGCTATATGTAATGACTCCTATATTCATTGGCTACTTGTAATAACTTTATTTGATCTAGTAAGACCTGCATGCTTATTTAACATCTATTGATCTTTAAATTTTTAGAGCTATTTATGCCTAATTTATTTGTCAAAATTTTTGTAGTTTGATTTAGAGAGAAATTCAAGATATTGACAAAATAGTTCTTAGCATATAAGTCTATTCAATTAAACTTTCTAGACTTATTTTATATCCAATTTGCAAACCATCTTATCAAATTGTATAGCACTTAACACTCTATTTTAAGGATATATATTTACATATTTTTATGGACATGTTTGACGGGCAGTGGTCGGGCGATGAAGATCCGACGATGGCTTTCGGCTCGCAAAAGGCTGAATAGCGATGGTGCTTAGGTGAAACTCTGGGATTTTTCAAACTTTTCACCTCTCTTAGCTCTCTAGCCTAAGAATTCTCGTAATGTGGATAGTCAAAGCCTATAGTAAAATTTTGGATATATCATACCCCGTAAACATGAATAAAATTCGAAATATTGTCAAATAGCTTGTATTGATTCATATAATCGTAAATCATAAATCATTAATTCAATATTAAGTACTTTAACATTGTTGGAATTGAGCAATCTTGAGCTCTTTAGATTTGCCTCGTATAGAGTTGTTTGATTTGATTATAAACATGTAGAATTTGATGATCATTTGACTCTCCTATTAATATTCCAAAGCTTTGAATCGTGCTCATTGGGATTCTCATTATACAGCTTTTAGTGCCAATGAATTTGTCTCATCAAGTCGATTAACTTCAATATAAATTTTTTGAAATGAAAGTTCACATTAAGTTAAATATTAAACTTTTTTTTATCATCACGAATTTTCACACTAACTTATGATCCCCGTTATTTATATTCTTTTATTAAAACATAATTAAACAAACTTTATTATATCTCGCGATTCAATTTCGTTCTCGATGTCCCGCTAACGGAACCTATAGGGCCCCGCGCCGCGCACCTCGGGCATCTCCCGCTTCCAAATTCCGATTCCCAGCATCTTCCTTTCCGATCCGACAACCCTGATCTCTCCTCCATCTCCTATAAATTACTTCCTCGCGTACGACCACCTCTCCAAGCCTCTTCCTCTTCATCTTCCATGCAAATGGAGCTACTCCTTGAATCGCCGATCGAAGCAATCATATTCCGATGTGGTACTACTCTCTCTGGCTGCATGTGGACCTTCCTCGCCTTCTTCGCTGCCGCCCTAAGCCTCTGGCGACTCCGCTTCTTAAGATCTGCATCCGGGTATGAATCCGCTTCCAAATCCCCTACCTCCACTGTTCCCGCCCCCGCGCACGCGGTTCCATCGATGCCGGCGATCCTCCCGTCGGCAATCGTCACACTACCGATGCTGGATTGCAGCGATCGTATGGAGACCGAATCATACACTAAGGGAAAGTTCACGGCGTACTTACTCGCCGAGGAGGAGATCGACGGCGGTGATTTGTGCGAGGAATGGGTGACTGAAGAATTTAGTGGCGGCATGCACTGCTTGGATTGTTTGGATTGGGGATGGAAGGGTGATCTGGGTTGGTACACATACCAGGATCGGACAGCGATTAACGGTAACGTTGTAACGCTTTGGGATAGTAGCCGGAGGCGGGGGGATTTGTGGTGGCGCCGGCGTTTCGGGAACGATGGAATTAGGGGTAGAATGGGAATTTGTTGTAGAAGAAATTTGTTAAATATGGCTGTATAGAGCGATGGGAGGACGATGCATCGCCGGAGACATTTTTTGTCTGTTGCCGTTTCTCTTTCACTGTCATTTTCTAATCGCCACTCGAAGCAATCATACTCCGAATATTCCATTCGCCATTCCTTTTTTTATGCTGTGAAAATATTAAGTGCTGGTGAGGGTAAATATGGTATTTAAGTCTATTTTCGATTTACTGTTCACAAAAATCGGGCAGATTAATTCTAAAATACAAAAAAATTAATAATATTAATCATTATAAAAAATTATATGGAATAACAACAATCAATAAAAATTAATTTCATTAAATCTATTGTTATCATATTCAAACAAAATAAAAAAATATGAGGATGTACTACATAAATTATTTTTAAAACTATTTTTTTATTTTAAATTTTTAGAAGCATATAGACTTTGACGAATAAGAACTCCAGAGCGTTAAAGTGTTCAAACTCTTCGGGCCTCGAGAAATTATTCTGTGTGGAGGTCGGACGCAGCTCAACGTCTGGAGACAAATCAGGTGTATGTCAATGTCAGCAGTACCGACTGCGATACCAAACGAACGAATGATTGTGGTGTGTGTGTATATTATATATATATATATATATATATAGTATATAACTATGTGTATTATAAATTGAGAAAATAGGTTAGGATATTATGGCCATTAATTTTTTTCCTAAAACCTACGATTCTGTAATATCTTAAATTCGTTCCTAACATTCTTCTAGAAGATACAAGAAAGAGTGTCAGTTTCTTTTTTCGTTTATTTATTTTCCTTACTCGCGTTGTAACAAAATTTGAAGCCAAAGCATACCAAAACCTACAGGAACAATTTATTACGGTCTCCGACCGGATGCAGAGGAACATCCGGTCGTAGGCAAAATCCCGCTATACCGATGTATAACTGAGTTTTTTTTGCCACCGAACCAAATAAAAGTTCAACTACAGAGCCATATGTTTCTTTTCTTTCCGTTACGTTTAAATTCAATAGCAACACCACCAAATTCTTAATTAGTAACGAAGACAACCTCGTTAATCCATGATGTTAAATAAGCTAAGCACTTTTTAAGTACTCTGCTACGGTTAAGAAAATAATTAACAGCTCTAATTACGCAATTAATAGGACATAGTTGGCTCTCCTAAACTATTAGCAGCATCCAGCAAAGCCATAGCTCTGCTTAATAAGCTACAACTACTGACCAGACCCACTTACCCGATGAGCATTTTTCTCATGAAAATAATAAATATTTTATTATTTAATAAATAAGAATTTAATTTTTATAAATATTTAGGGGTTATTTGGTTTGTTGAAGAGGAGAGTAAACTAAATGTAATGTATTTGAAAGATTTGAAATTGTTCATATGAGTGTAAAAGGAATGCAGCGGATTATTTTTTTTATTTAGCTTTTAATGTAAATTAAAATGATGGTAGTAGTCGGTGATGATGATGATGAGCTGACAGCTTGCAGTTGATGACGGCGGCGGTCAACAGTGCAATCAAATTGCGGAGCAAAAAAAATCAACTAAAATTGGGCGAGTTTACAACTCTTCAAAAATGAACTATAGAGTTAAAAGAATTCACCAAAATTTTACATTGTATTCCTTTGTCATTAAGGGTTTGTTTCGTTGCTTGAAAAAGTAATTCAGTGTGAAATGAATACTTTCGAGTTATTTGGATGAGTGTAAAGAAATGCTTGACTTCTTTGTTTTTGGTTTGAAGTTACATATAAAATGATTGTGCACATAATAATTGTTGGTCGACGTTGTAGGGTGGCAGCGACGGGGACCATTGGTGTAAAGGTTGTTTCTCCGAGGATCATCCGGGACGATCAGGGATTCGTCCAGGACGATCTGTACAGAATTGTGAAGAATCTGCATGTTCGTTTGTACGAACCTGGAAGAGTCGGGACGAACCAAACCCAAGGGTTTCGTCCCGGGACGACGAAATTGGCATTTAATTTCGTCTGGACGATCTGTATATATGGGAGATCGTCTCGGGACGAACAGGACATCGTCCGGGACGATCCTGTGTATTAAATATCTGAATAGTGTCGTTTTGAAGAGAGAGAAAGTCCAGGAGAGAGAAAACCGATGGAGAAGAGGAAAAAGTGGATTTTTGAGCGACTCTGGTCCGTTTTCGTCTGTCGTCGTAGTTGAAGAGGTTGACCTGCACGAGGTAAGGCACAATCCGCCTTTCTCAATTTTCAGAAACGAGATTTTTGACGCATTTTCTGTTCCGAATTTTGTTTCCGTTAGCGAATTTCTGATATTATTTTCTTCTGACAAAGGTTTTACCGCGTAACTTTTAGTATGTCTCTGAGATGATAATTGTGCACGTTTTGCGTATTTTCAGGAAGATTTTTACCGGATATTTTGGATTCTGCGGTATTTTAATTGAACTGCAAATTATGAGGATGTTGAAAAATATTTTATCAGTACAATGAAAGTCTTATAATATTGTTATAGATATTCTGTGGTAATTTGGTAAATTTCTGAATCTATGAATTTTGTATAAATTCTGTATATTGTTGTTATGTCGCTGAATTTTCGTACGATTTCTGAATTTTCTGAAATAAGATGATTTGAATGTTTGATGTGTTTGTGCTATCAGAAGGGAGTTATAAGGGGCCGGAATCCTATATGATTCCGTTGTCTGGGTCAGGGAATTCTGAAATCTGAAATGAGCTCTAAAATCTAAAAATGTTCCGGAACCTCTGATATCTGTTCTATTCTGGTGCTATAAGCACAACGGGAGACATAAGGGGCCAGAATCCGTTGAGATTAAGTCTGTGTCAGGGACATCTGAAATCTGATATCTGAATCAGTTCTATGAATAAATTAATTTCTGATTTCCGTACGATTTTGTCTGCTTTGTGATTTGAAATGTTAAATAGCTATTCTGAACTCTGAGATGAAATATGATTTAAAAAATTCTGGCCATTCTGTGATCTGTTCTGTTTTCTGAATTCAGTTCTTCTGTATCTGTAATCTGATTCTGGATTGATCAAGTATCTTATGTTTCATATACGAATTCTATACGAGTTTCTTAATTTCTGGTGACTATTATTCTGATATGTTTTGTGTGAGATTTCTGAAGATTCTGATTGGTGATTGATGTCTTGCTGAGCTGTTAGCTCATCCTTATTTTCTGCGTGATTTTCAGGTTCTGGGAAAGAGAAGGAGGTCTTGGATTAGCAGTTCAGAGTCTGATCTGAGATTATGTATTTTGTAATTTTGATTTTTGTACAGTCATGGCTTATCTGTTCTTTCAGTCTGTAAGCCATGTACTGTATCTGTATATGATTGTTTTGACGAAAGAAAAGATAGATGAATTACTCTGCATTTGGATGATTATAGTAGCTATGTGTCTTTCTGTCTATGTAATATTTGGAAGAAAGTTCTGAAGCAAATTCCAAAGCCAGATCCTGAATTTATTTGGCTCCGTCGTGATCCGATGCGAGCGGGATTCGTCCCGGTCGGGTTGGGTCGTGACAATTGGTCGTAGGTTGCTGGCAGCGACGGCGACGGTGGATGGTGGTCGATAGTGGGTTGCGGTGGCAGTGGTCGACGGTGGCCAGTGGTGAGTAGTTATTGTGGTGAGTGATTGTTGCGGCAACGGTGGTAGTGGTGGGCACCATCGATAGACGGTGGCAGGTGGAAACTGATCGACAGTGGGTTGGCAGTGGAAACGGTGGCCATCGGTAGTGATCAAGCAAGTTTTTGAGCGGTCTAAACGGTTCTCTCTGAAAACTGGCGAGAACGATTTACCTCAAAAATGTAATAGAATGAAATACATAGTATTTACTTTATTTTATGTTGATTAGCTTTTCATCCAACAAAACACCAAATTTTTTAAAACTCATACATTTACTCTACTTTACACCTTAAAATATTCCAACCAAACATGATGTGGGGAGGGATCATTGAAGAAGCAGCTCCTAAGAGCAAGAACACAAATGAACATTAAGTACTGTTAATCTTCCAAAAATATCATTCATATCTCACTTACAATAGCATGTCTATATAACGAGCAATTATTACGTCCGGTCAAATCCGAATGTAAACCGAGCAATACTGAGTTTTAGGTGACGTGGCGCGTGATTATTGGTCTATGAACGCATTCGGTGACCGAACATAATAACTGCTCCTATATAACATAATTAAAGAACCTTATAGAAGATTATAAAAAACATCTAACAAGCTAGATATCTTATTCCTAAGATATTTTATGCTAAGATGCACCGCATCAAAATATCTCCAAATCAAAAATCCAAATTTTAATATCAATTGTATTATTTTTCCTCTTCTTTCTTTTTTCAGTGAATCGGACAGACCCTTACTAATTAATAATCGAAAAGATGACAGCTCAAACGAATGTTTGAAGAGTACCATTTTAATTCGCCCTTTAAAGAAAAAAAAAACAAGAGAAGATCTCAATAATGACTCATCCACGTTAAAAAAATAATGCAATTAGGCAATGAACTGAATGCTTTTGGTTCACTTGATTAATAGGAAGCAAATTCTAGAAACTTCGAAGATTTCATGAAACTGACATATCCGAATTTAATATCGCTAATCCTCATCATGTCGCATGCAATTAGTGTATATATTTGGAAACATATATCAGATGATTAAGATCAAGGCAAGCTACTAATACCATTTGTCATTTAATTGATTTGATTCAACAATCACATGTTATGTTTAAACAAAATTAATGGCTTTCTAAAAAGCTTTTTAGTATAAAAATTTCTAGTTTAAAAATTTTATGTACAAAAAAGCTGCTTTAGAAAGCAACAAAAAAGCTATCACAATCGAAACCTAAGTCCGAATTCAAATATATGAATAAGGAGCTGAGTGGTGTGCTCAGTTTACACAAATCTCAGCTCTTGAACGTGTTTAATAGAATTCCTAGAGTTCTTACTCTAGAATTCATTCTTCTCTCTCTATCTTTCTGTTCTATTTTTACTTAGTAATCTTTGTATAGCTGGATGTGATTCACAAATTGTTAGTGTTTGATCCAATTCATATTAGTTATAGGTGTACTTTCTTTAGGCATTTTATTGTGTAGTTAATGGGCTTGTGCGTGGAGGCAAATGTCGCACGAGCTAAATAGTGTCAT